AAACCCCAGCTTCTCCCACCAAAGCCCAGCTTCTCCCACCCAACCCAGCTTCTCCCACCCAACCCAGCTTCTCCCACCAAACCCCAGCTTCTCCCGCCAAACCCCAGCTTCTCCCACCAAACCCCAGCTTCTCCCACCAAACCCAGCTTCTCCCACCCAACCCAGCTTCTCCCACCAAATCCCAGCTTCTCCTGCCCAACCCAGCTTCTCCCACCAAATCCCAGCTTCTCCCACCCAATCCAGCTTCTCCCACCCAATCCAGCTTCTCCCACCAAACCCCAGCTTCTCCCACCCAATCCAGCTTTTCCCACCAAATCCCAGCTTCTCCGGCCTAACTCCAGCTTCTCCAGACAGATTGCAGCTACTCTAGCTCAAACCCAGCTTCTCCCCCCCAACCCGGCTTCTCTGCCCTCCCTCAGGGGACCTGGAGGTGGAGGAGGAGCCACCCTCGGGCCTGCCGCCCACCTTCATTCGCTTCGCCCATCACTCCTACGCACAGATGGGGCGGGTGCTGAGGCGGACAGCCGCCCGCTGCCCCGAGGTGGCCAGGACCTACAGCATTGGGCGCAGCTTCGACGGCAAGGACCTGCTGGTCATTGAGTTCTCGAGCCGCCCCGGGCAGCACGAGCTGTGTGAGTGTCAGAGGCCTCCCCAGGGCTGTATCTCCAGGAAGGGCTCTGGGCCCACTGGGCCTTGGGGGGCAGGTAATTTGGGGAGCTGGGTGTGGGCCACATCCTAGGGAATGGCCTCCTAAAAAAGGAGGGGTCCCTCGTTCATCCATTTGGCTTGAGGATGCGGGGGCTGGGGAGCCCCGGTCCAGCGCGGGGGTGGTCCGCAGGCGGGGGGGGGGAGGGGGCAGGTCACAGAGAGGATGCCAGGGGCAGGGCACCCCGCACCCGCGACCCTGACGCTGTGCACTGCGCGTGCCTCTGAGCCCCGGCCTGGACGGGGTTTAGATGTCCCCATCCTGGATGTGTCCCCTCCTCTCTGCCTGGCCATGACAGAAGCCACCCCCAGCATGGTGTGACTACCGCACTCACACCAGGACAGGCCGGTGGGAACGCGGCTCTGTTCAGCCTGTGGAGCTGTGCTCCGGCAGGCAGATTAGAAACTCACACCTTCCCACAGTGTATCTGCTGCCCACTCTGAGTTGTGGAAGAAGCACTTTGATGGTTGTATCTGGGCATCTAGAATGTTCTAACAGACTCAGCCCCTGGCTGAGGCACCTCCCTTTCCTGTGAGGTGTGTCTGGGATGCCCCCATCCCCGAGTCCTGAGAGCTGTATGGCCCTGTCCTGGGGTAGGGGTCCTTCCCGGCCCCCAGCCCCCAGCCCAGCCTGCCCACAGCCGTGTTGCTCACGCAGGACCACCCCAGAACCTCCCCACTCCCCTCCAGCACCACATGTTACCCAACCAGTCAACTCGACTCTGCCACGCTGCCCACCCCAGCCTAGAGTTTATCCTACTGACCCAGACAGCAACAGTGTTGTAGACCCTAAGCCCCTCTCCTGCAGAGGGTCAGGGCATCGGCTGCATCTGGCCTCCGATGTCCACATCCCTGCGGAGGGCCGAGGGAGGTGACCGGCGTGGAAGTCAGCCGCCCTGAGACATGCAATGTGAAATCAAGGGCACTCAGGCCCAGAGCTGAAGCTGCCGGGGTGTGTGTGTGAAGACCCCACGTTGCAGTTGGGCGCCAGGAGACCCCACCAGGAAGGCCCTCTTGTCTACAGCAACACAGTGAACCATGCTGATGGCCGTGCTTTTCAACAACCATCCATCTATCCACTACATCCATCCACACTATTCACTACCACCCAAATGCCTCCTCTCATCCACCGCCCATCCACACAGCCACCCACCCGTCTATCCTGTCATTCATCCACCCACCATCTCCCCATCCATCCACCTATCCATCTCCCCATCCATCCACCCACCATCTCCCCATCCATCCACCTATCCATCTCCCCATCCATCCACCTATCCATCTCCCCATCCATCCACCCTTTCACTCATTTCCTTCATCCTTTCATCCACCTACCTCTCCATCCTTTCATCTATCCATTCATCCATCTACCCATCCATCTACCCACCTACTCACCTATGTAGCCTTTCATCCATCCACTCATCAATTTGTTCATCCATGTTCCTACTCATCCGTCCACCTAGCCACCCCCCATCCTTTTATCTGTCTACCTGCCATCCAGCCATCCTTCCATCCATTCATCTAGCCACTCACCCATCCATCCATCCATCCACCCATTCATCTATCTGCTTGCCAATCCATTCTTCTACCACTCATTCACCCAACCATCCATTCATCCATCCATCCTGATATCCATTTATCCACTCACCCATCAACTCTACAGTACATCCATATTCATCCGTTCATCCTGCCATCCATCCATCTACCCATTTATCCACTCACACATCAACTCTACAACCCATCCATTCATCCGTCCATCCTGCCATCCATCCCGTCCATCTACACAGTGATCACATGGACAGCGGCCTTCCCAGCCAAGCGTCAGTGCGCTTGACTTGTCATGCAAACGTGAAGGTCACATCCATCAGCAATATCGCATATGGTTACCGGTGTCCGGTTTGCCGTGCTAATAACCGGCTAACCCTAAGGAATGAGCTCCACGGAAGTGGGGCCTTCGTGAGGCCTCAGGGTGCCCCAAGGCTCGGGGTCAAAGTGCAGGGCAGGAGCCTTGGGCTCTGGGGAGGCGTCTGTGACGGGAGGCCCTCGGCCTTCTCCCCGCAGTGGAGCCCGAGGTGAAGCTCATTGGCAACATCCACGGTAACGAGGTGGCAGGCCGCGAGCTGCTCATCTACCTGGCCCAGTACCTGTGCTCCGAGTACCTGCTGGGCAATCCCCGCATCCAGCGCCTGCTCAACACCACCCGCATCCACCTGCTGCCCTCCATGAACCCTGACGGCTACGAGGTGGCTGCGGCAGAGGTGGGCTCTCCCGCTGCCCCGGGCACCCTCCCTGCCGCGTACGCGGTTGTTCAGGGTCTGTGTGTGCCACGGTTGGGGCGGGTGGAGCAGGACTCCATAGGCACCAGCCCTGGCCAGGTCTGGCCGGCAGGGCAGGAGGGGTGAGCACAGGTGCACTCAGGTGACACATGCTACAGAGAAAAAGGGGGTTCGCAAGGGCTGGTGCCGAGCTGTGGGAGCGAGCGGCACGGGGTCTCCAGGCCGGAGGGTGGGGAGGGTCAGGCAGGAGCAGGAGGCTGGGCCAGGCAGGGCAGCCATTCCAGGTGCCAGGCCGGACGCCCCTGAGCTCAGTTGCATAAAGCCAGAGGGAAATGGCGGCCCCGGCCGGACCCTCGGCCTCCCGCTGCAGGCCTCCTGGAAGGAGCGGGTGCTGCGTGCAGGCTTCTCACGGGCCGGCCTGTGTTTTCAGGGTGCTGGCTATAACGGGTGGACGAGTGGGAGGCAGAATGCACAGAACCTTGATCTGAACCGCAACTTCCCAGACCTGACGTCTGAGTTCTACCGGCTGGCCTCGGTGCGGGGCGCGCGCCCTGACCACATCCCCATCCCACAGGACTACTGGTGGGGTAAGGTAGGAGCGCCGGGTCCCTCTGAATCTGTGTCTGGTGTGTGAGCTGGCCACCTGGAGGGTGACGTCCCCAGAGGTCGGGAGGAAAGCCCCGGGCAGGCGTGGCGTGGGGCCCGGCGTGGGGCCTGGCGTGGGGCCCGGCGTGGGGCCTGGCGGTGCTGGCGGGGCCCCGAGGTCTCCGTGCAGGGAGCCTGGGGCGGGTGGGCTCAGAGGACCCGCGGGGGCGGGGCCTGCGGTGCGGGTACGAGGGCGGCCCCTCCCCCGCAGGTGGCCCCCGAGACCAAGGCCATCATGAAGTGGATGCGGAGCACCCCCTTCGTGCTCTCCGCCAGCCTGCATGGAGGCGACCTGGTGGTCTCCTACCCCTTCGACTACTCCAAGAACCCCCTCCAGAGGAAGATGTTTTCTCCCACGCCCGATGAGAAGGTGAGGGGGGGACGCAGCCGCCGAGCTGGTGGTCCTCCAGCCGGCACTGTCCTGTCTTGAGCTCCGTGACGCCTCGGGTCTCTGGTCACAGCCTCTTTCCGGAAGTCCCCAGCCGGCCCCACTCTGTCCTTGCCTGTGAGCTAGCGCTCAGGGTGAGGACCTGTGGGGGAAGGATGCAGGCCCAGACACTGCCAGCAGGGGGCAGTGCTGCCGCGTGCACCACGTCTGGGCTCAGCCCAGGGTTTAGGCACCCATCCCCACATCTGGGGCTCGGACTTTGGCTCTGGCTTGGAGAAGCACGGGCCGGCTGTGGCCCTGACAGCCTGGCCCAGGAGGCCCGGGCTCCATCACACTATGTGGACCGTCCAACTGCGCAGGCTCCGGGCCTGGTGGGGACTTTCAGATGGCCGGGACTTGAGAGACCTGGACCTGGCTCAGAGGAGGGGGTTTTGTGCAGGAAGCTCTGTGTTGGGGAGGGGTCCTGCCAGGAGCCCACACGGTGGCTGGTGTGGGGGAGGACAGTTCTCCACCACAGCAGGGGTCAGAGGGGGGGTGTGAGCATCATCCCCAGGGAGTCCTGCTTGCTTATAGCTCAATGAAGTGCAGGGAGATGAAGTCCTCGGAAGCAGGGCCTCCACTCACTTTATAAACGGCAAAGCTGACAGCCTGGCACTGCTGGCTCACGCCCGTCATCCTAGTTACTTAGGAGGCTGAGACCTGAGGATGGAGGTTTGGAGCCAGGCAGGAAAGTCCATGAGACTCTTATTTCTAATTGACTACCAACAAGCCAAAAACAGAGCTGTGGCTCCAATGGTATTGAACTTAAAAGCTCAGGAACAGCGCCCAGGCCCTGAGTTCAGACCCAAGGACCAGTGCAATAAAACAAACACAACTGACTTCGGGGCCCCATCGGTGTGGGCCCAGTGCCTTTCCTCTCGGCCCAGGCCCATCCTTCCGGCCTGGTGTGCCAGGGCTGGGCCGGCGCCCCTCCGCGTGCCCCGGGCACCGGCTCTGAGGCTGTCCGCCGGAGCTTCCCTCCCGGGCCTGCCTGCAGGGAACCGTCCTCCTCCGTGTCCTTTCCAGATGTTCAAGCTGCTGGCCAGAGCCTACGCAGATGTCCACCCCATGATGATGGACAGGTCGGAGAACAGGTGTGGAGGCAACTTCCTGAAGCACGGCAGCATCATCAACGGGGCCGACTGGTACAGCTTCACCGGAGGTGGGCCTGCTGGGGTGGGCAGGCCTGCCGGGGTGGGCAGGAGGGGGGGAGGGAGGGAGGGCAGGCAGCAGGCTCACTGGCAGAGCGGGGCAGGGCAGTGTAGCCAGATGAAATGCCAGAGCCCCGTGAAACTGGCATTCCAGAGAGAAACACAACACCAGACAAAGACTCGGGTGCTGGTAAGCAGAGCCCCATCCGGGCTGTGCTATGCTGGAAAAATACCCCGTGGCCCATGGGAGACTTTCTTGTCTGTGACTCAGTTTTCCCCCGCCTCCGTGTTTTCCCGGAGGGTTGCAGCAGCAACCCGGGTGGACGTGGGTATGAGGTGATCGCTGGGCCCACCACATACCTTCACGAGCCAGCCCCCCCCCCGATATCTGCTCTCTGGTCACCATGCCCCCCTGCATGTGGCTGGGTGTGAGGGGGACCTCACGCTCAGCCTCTCCTGCACACGTGGGCCACGCGCTGTGACGCCACCGGCAGCCTCGGTGACCCCCGCCCTCCCACCCAGCCCCGGGAGGGGTCCCCTGGCCTGCATGACTGGCGTGTGCCAACACCTCTGGGGCAGGTGATGGGAGAGGCCAGCGGGGGCCTGTGGCGGCAGGCAGCCCGGAGGACTCCGTGGACACGTGCACGCAGCCTGGGACTGTGTTGTGACGGTGGCAGTGGCGCCGCCCTGGTGGGGGTGTCAGGCACAGGGGGTGGGGGGCACTGTCCTCGCTGGCTCTGCAGTGTGGCGGGCTGCGGTCCCCGGGCACTGATGGCGCCCTCCCCGGAGGGGTGGGGACAGTGTGGGGATGTCTCGGTGCTTGTGCGTGGGCCCCGGGCTCGTGGCCGGGACGTGGGAGCCTGTGTGGCGGCCAGTGCTGGCCTCCCACTGCCGAATCACTGACCTCTGTCACCCCGTG